TGATCACTTAATCTCTGCAAATCCTTTCATTTTTCAAGTGCATATCAGTAGATGCTTGGCTTCCCACTCTCGAGATGATGAATTTGGCCAAATTTTGAGTTATGCCATCACATCTCACCCAACTAAGACCCAAGGCCGTAATTGGGCATCCGAGAGCTCTAATTGGTTCCTTATGGGCATGTTGCATTGTACACTTGAGCATATGCGTATTGTAATGTTGGAGATCATGTTATATTGAGTTTTATGTAGTTTATTGATATATAATTTTGCATCGTAATTTTGAGTGGTGCAGAATTTTTAAAAGCATCTCATACATGTTTAGTTTGATGATCTCTTTGAGTAGTTTGTTTTGTTGATGGACAAGCGGTACTAATTGAGTTGTATCCTCTATTTGGGAGTGTATTTTGAAGTCATTAGTTCACTGTAATCACTGTAAGGTTGCTGTAATTTCAATTTGTAAGTTCAATTCGAAGTGCATTGTATGAAATTCAAGTTGTATTGTCTTGAGTTTTTGACATAGTTGTAGTCCAATTGTATGTGATTTGGTTTCAATACACCCAGATTCATGTAAGTGCTATTGAGCATTATCACTCATAAGCAATTAACATAAGTATAACCATATGGACTTCGTTCCACTTCGAGCACTAAGCCCCAGAGAGGCATCACATGCCACATACCGTTTCGTCCTCTAAATCAAAGTTAGATATTAACAAGAAAACAAAATTTGCATGGTCTTACAAGTATAAGGCCTTTAAATAACCACAAAATCCTAACAATCTTAGTAATATCAATGCCAACAGTCCACATGATGAGGATGGCTATCTTCCTTGGTTGGTAGCAAACAAACAAATGCATCATTGGAGAACTGAGTTAAGATCCCCTGATACACTATTTAGGTTCTGAAGATGTATAGATACCAAGTCCAAGTGACACAACATAAATTTTTTCTTGAGTTCAATACAACATAACTCAATTACATTAAATCTAACATCATCAAATAAAATTGCAGCAACTAAAATTGGCCTCTAATACACTTTTAAAACAAAATAAGACTCTAATTGGTCCATTGTCTTAGTCCATGACACAATATACATTAAGAAGATTGATTGGGCACTTGATCATACACATGATCTAAAGAATATAGTAATATACAAATACAGTGCCTTGGAATTACATCATATACTTTAAATTCAAACTCTTTTCTCCAACAAAAACAAGTATTGTGTGTGTGCAGAGAATTCAGAGAATTTGATTATGAGAAGCCGATCATAGAGCTCATTTTGCCCGGTTTACGGCCTTGTGTCTTAGCTATGTGCCATGGGAGGACTTATGATGGCATAATCACATAGGCTAATAGCAACATCAAATAGAGAAGCCTTTAAACATCATATCATCTAAACTTTTATGGAACATTCTAACAAATGAGAGGACTTAGCAAAATGGATTCAAAGCCGTGAGAAAAAGTGGGAGAAAAAGAGGCACAAATCACTCTCTATTTGGTGAGAAAAACAATAGAATGAGCATGGAGATTAATACATAAATCTTTTCTTTAATTAAGAGTGAATCAATCTATTGATATACACTTAAAACATGGAAGGATTTGTGGAGATTAAATGATCAAAACAAATGGGAAAACCATTGGAGAAATCGTAATTCCTAAAACGCAAAACATCTTTAGAGTTCATAAATCGAGCCACATAGGTTTGGTATAATCTTTTCTTATGAAAACAACAATTTGATGCATAAAAATGAAGTTCTAATTGACTGATTTGGTTCTAAAAATCTCAAAGAAATATCAGCAAAAAAGGCTCCAAAAATCACATGGAAAAGCTCATGGAAACTAGATCAATTGTGCATGGATGATGCCTTCAACCATATAGATCAAAGGGAATCAAAGTAGATCAAAGGGAATCAAAGTAGATCAAAGAAATCATTGATCTATCATCAAATGGATGAAGGAAGCTTGTCGTAAATAAAAATTTATAGCAAGAAAAATTAACTAGAATCAAAGAAAATTGATGAGATCTTACTCAATTGATGAAGGCCTTAAGTCTAGATCATCTTTGACTTGAATTTGAGCTTTGAATCACCGTTAATGAGCCTTCATGGAGTTTCTATAGAGCTTTCTCTCACATCACCTTCATACACTTTGGAAGAGAGAGAGAAAGGAAGAGGAGATAGCCTAGGGCGTGCCACACTAGAGGGCTAAATGAGAGAGAAAGTGGCGTGCCACTTTAGTGTTGAGTTTTAAAGGGGTATTTATAATGTTTAGTGTAGAGATGTTTTAGATGTGCTTTAATCTTAGCCGTTGAAGTCTAACATCCATGGTTACAAAGAGAGGCTTGATCCTAGTCCACCAGCATACCATCTTGATGTGTGTTATAGATTTAATACCCTTATACTCCATTTTTATAACCATAATTCACTCTAATTTCCCTTGTATTAAAATGCCCATGCTCTTTACATTTAATTGAACTAAAATCCAAGTTAGAGGGCATATACCCTTGAGCTAATTTGTCAAAATTCCAGCAAAAAATAAATTTCAAACTTTCCTCTATTTTATAAGAGCATATGGGGCTAATCAAATCATGCCACATATGCTAGGTGCTTAAGTGTATAATTACTATGTACCCATAGGCTTTAGCTTGTAGCAAACCACTTGCTTTGCACATTTGACATGTGCCAAAATTAATTTTCTCCATTTCCAAAATTGAGAAAATCCAATATTACAAAACATACCCCACATAACAAATTACCCAATGACCTAAAAGGCCACTATGGGGAATGATGTCACTCCCACGTCATCTCCATGTGGGGCTGATGTGGAGGCCCCCATGGCCCCACGTGGACACCCATTGGACATTTGGGTGTCCCGTGTGGGTCCTGGAGGTCTGTCCTTAATCGTCTTTTGGTAAAAACAACTCCGAAAAACAGTTTTTCTTATCCGAAAAAATTCAGAAAAATCTCCAAAATTTTCAAAAATCCTTTTCCATGAAAAAACCATTTTTACAATGTTTAAAAATATTTTCAAGGGAAATTAGTTATAAAGTTGAATTAGGAATCAGGGCATTCTTGGCTAGACCCGGATTCCAAAGCCACTTTCTCGATATGACCCAACAGAATCGTGGCCCACTCTGTATTATCAGGGGCTCATGATATTAGCCTAGCAAAGTCAAACTAATGAGTGACTCTGAATTCCCAAGTACTAATGGATTTCAGGTGCACCCCTTAGAGGATATGCACACACAAGGTGCGGGGGTTCCGCTCTTGGCATATGTGCATGCCTCTTCTCAGTAGATCTCTGGAAGAGTTGGCTTCCCATACTTTGTAACTGTTTATGCACATGCTATGAGAAGGTTCTAAGAGTCAAGGATTTAGGCCAATACCCTCTGTTGGCCCCTAACCATCCCATACAGGGCTAATCATCGAGCTCAAATCATCATACACATACAATCACATCGCCTTGGCTCAATCATCCAATCATGAGGATCAATCGAGCTCAATAACAATAACAATAACCGACCTTGACTATAGGCAACCCCTGAAACCTCTCGGTGCCTCTCATATATACACTAATTCTGTTCATGATTATCCCAGGGTTTCCATGATTCTTGGTCCTAGTGCGCCAAGATCCTAGAGTCATGTCTCTCCTTTCACTCCCGATCATGAGCTATATGTCGGTGTTACAAGGCCTTGAAAGGCCATAACTCCAACAGGATCTTCATGCACCTTGGAGATCCTATTAGGTACTCCATTTACCTCCCATTGAGTTATATCCAGTACAAAAGTTAAACATATTGTCACACACATATATGTGTTCATAAAGGCCTAGGGGGAAATATTTACAATAAAAAGACGATACAACAAAACTATAGTTGTCATAACTGTTTATAACGACCTGCTCTGCCTTTATGTTTTGAATATGGAAGGAAACACCTATATATGCTGGCCTATATTCGTCAAAGCCTTAAGTACTGATTCAGTTATTTTTTAATAATCTGGAGTCACTTCATGTTATTTCCTGATTCAAGTTTTATGGTTTCTGAATGGAAGCAACAATTTTGTTTTCTATGTCTTCCTCCATTAAATGAATCATGAAAGGTTTTGAGATGTTGCTACCCAGATAAAAGACATATATGTACTCTTTCAATGCCCTGGAGCACACCTAAGAAATGGAGCATGTACCTTCCACCTGCATGATTCATGCCATGATTTATTTCTAGCTTTCCACCTTTGCTGCTCTTCATACTTTCTTGCGATGCTTTCTACCTTTGCTACTCTTCATTCTTTCTTGTGATTGCCCAGTGTTGAAACAAAAATAACCATGACTGAATGTGCTTGTTTACTTCCCAAGCTATTGATTCATTGCTTTTTTTTTTTTTTTCTTCATAATATTGAATTTCACGAGCTACTGCATCAAGTAGCTCAAGTATATTAGAAACCATTGATAGAAGTATTCTTTTTTATTTTCCAACAGGTAGTGAGTTAAATATCCTCTTATGTGAGAAATTGAAATACTTGCCAACCCCCGACCTCTAGGGGTTTTCCCCCACACACACAAAGAAGAGATATTGTTTTACAAAACTGCTTGTCATAATTCATTAATTTCTTATGTAATATGTGTTTTGGCAAGAATCAAGTGATGAAAAGGTTTTCAATCTAAAATGTATCATACAAGGGAGAATGATGGAACTTTCCAATGCAGTTTTGACTTCTTCCTATATATAATACTTCTTCAGACATGTCATTGCTACGTATGCACTTGTGGAATTTGGTTGACTTAGTTATTGTATAACTTTTATGCAAATTTAAGAAGATGATGCGGTTGATCACTTCCAGAGTTTGGTGACCACTTTCTCTTGATGACACCATGCATGTCATGCGATTCTTTTTGTTTAATGTGCATGCTATTTATAGATCTTTTATTAGATGGTCATTGTTTATAAAAATTATTGTGATATCTCTACATTTAGCTGATACATTGTAGGCTTCTACTGCAGCTGTCCTTGGGCGTCTTCCTGGCACCACTGTTTATAGAAACATTCGGCAATATCCAGAAGCATATACATATAATGGGATTGTGATTGTTCGTATAGATGCGCCCATTTATTTTGCAAATATAAGCTATATCAAAGATAGGTACTATTTCAAATTAGCTGCTATGTATCAGACTTTATTTCTTCTTTTCGTTCTTTCTGGGGGGTCATCAAACTGGGATCTCACAAATTCGCACGTTTAGAACAATATTTGAGAACTTTTTTAAATGTTAGTACAAAGTTTGACACTTATCTCCACATATAATCACATATGTTGCCCCATCTTCTCATTTAAGTTTTTTCACCTAGCCTTAGATTGAAATTATCATGAACTCGTTAACTCGAATTTGATAATTTTGTTTGTAATTTACTTTTGAATTCTTTTTTCCTTTCAAAATTCTTAAATAACAGCACTGAGATGGTATTGTTGCTTCTTGATCAGATTGCGTGAGTATGAAATCAACACAGAGGGATTTACAAAACGCGGTCCAGAAGTTGAGAAGATCTATTTTGCTGTCATTGAAATGGCCCGTATGCTTCTTCCAATTTTAACATTGTTGCATTTTTTTTCAAAGAAGGATCATATAGGAATACTTTGCATACAAATTTCTCTTGCATATGGGCCTCATGCTAAATTGATTTTGCTTCAGCATGCAACCTTTCATGCTTGTCCCGCATTTTTGAGAATTTCTGCTGGAAAATTTTTCTGAAATAGTCTTCTTTTTTGTTCATGTATATTTTAAGCTTGGAAAACTATCCCTAGTTCTCAAGACCGAGGCACTACCTCCCCATCCATGAATCCCCTTTCCAGCAGATGATTTGAAATAGCACAAGATCCTAATGATTGCATTCATGTGTAACAATCACAGTGCATGCATGGACTGGTTCGCTAAACTAACAGCTTGCTCTAATGTCTGGCCTGGTTATTGAACGATAACTACGCTTTACTAACCAACCTCCAGTAAAGACTAGTATCTTCCAAGTGATACCAAGAGGCAAAATCTAGTTTTCTTCCGGGGTCTGGTGAGTCAATTGATCTGGCTTCCAGTTTTCTGGTCTTCTTTTGCAAATCTTGTGCCTACTTGTGCTATGAGATACTAATACATTTCTTCTGATTGTCCATTCAATGCTTATAGAATTCTTGAGTGACACCAAGTCGTTAATACCAAACTGTTGTCAGAAATAAGACATAATATCCCTGATACTTTACTTGTCATTTCCTGTAAGATTACTATCAAACAAGTAAATGAGCCATATGTTGAGGCCTCTTCTTGACAAACAAGGAGTAGTCAGCACTACTCACAAAAATCCATAATCTGGCGAGCATTACTTAACTTGTCAAATCAAACCCAGATCGTTTGCTTCAACCCATACAGGGCTTTATGAGGTAGGAACATAGAACCAAGGGGTAATGGAGTGGAGAAAGTGGGTGGACATTTCATGTATACTTCCTCCTTGAGATCACCATTAGGAAATGCATTCTTGTCATCTAATTGGAATAGTGGCCAGTTGTTAGTAGCTACTACTAACAGTAGAACTTGAACTGCCTATTTGGCCATAGAAGTTAAAGTGTCTTGGTAGTCAACAACTCCATATGTGATGCAGGGGAATTTGAGGGAACTGTGAAATCAGCAAGCAATAAGCCAAACACAAGAACAATGAAAGAAACCTAGGCCTTCTTCTCCATACCCCAAGTTAGGGTTCCAAAAGCCTAAGCTTTTCACTCTTTCAACTTCTAAAAATCATGTGGAATTGACTATCTTAAGGTCTACACATCTCTTATATATTATAATTCAATGTTCAAAAGACATTACATGTCCATTCAATGATTAAAGTGATCTATATATCCTAACTTAAACTTAAATTTCGTAATGACAGTTCTACCCCTATGAACAGTACCCATGAACAGTTCTCATGAATAGTACTCATGAAATAAATAAGAAAACTATAAAAACCCTATTATTCCTTAAAAAAAATTAAAAATCCTAAAATAAATCCTAAAACGAAAAATTCTAAAAATAAAATCAAAATATACATCCTTTAAAATTGAATAGAAATTAAAAGTAAGAATAATTTTGCCCTCCATCAACCCCCTCTCTACCTCTTTTGTATAATTATAATTTATTTACAAATTACACTAATGCCGTCAAGTATTTCATTAACGCCCTTAAGAATGTAAAACAAGATCGGAAGGCGTTATTGGCCTACAAACAAGACACATGACCAAGAGAAATGATTTGAAATATATGGTTAACACTCCCCATGAAGATGGAGAATCTCGTACCTTGCTTGCAACAAATCATTTGAATCTGATTACAACCAAGAGCTTTAGGGAATATATCATGTAATTGATCCTTCGACTTGACATATGGAGTAGATATCTTCTTACTTATTACTTTGCCCTGAATAAAATGACAATCTAGTTTAATGTGCTTTGTTCTCTCATGGAATACTGGGATGCTAGCTATATGGATGGCTGCTTGACTATGACAAAACATCTTCATCTTAGTAATTGTGAATCTCTTCTCCTGAATGAAGTTCTTCAGCCACATTTAACTAATATGTAGTGTGGGCCATTGTCGTATATTCATACATTTGCGTCAGACCTAGCTACAACGTTCCGTTTCTTATTTTTCCTTGTCACCAAATTACTTAAAAAAAGTACAATAACTTATAGCAGATATTTTGTCTGATGGAGATCCTGCTTAATCGGCATCAGATGTCTCTCAATGCTGAAATTGTCATTCTGCTTGTGGGTAAGCCCTCAACCTGGAGCCTCCTTAATATATCTCAAGATTCTTGACATATCCTCCTAATGTTTGTCCTGGGAGAATGCATGAACTGACTTGTTGCACTCGCTGCAATTGCTATATTCGGTTGAGAATTTTAGTTCGATAAGCCTACCTATAGGTCTTCTGTACTAATCCTTTGATAATATAGTACTTGATCCATAGGCTTATCAATTGGCCTAGCACCTAGCATTGACATTAAGTCTGTTACACACTTCGTTTGAGATAGACTAATACCATACCTAGACCGGCCTTTTTTTTTTAATGTTAACATTGTATTTCTGTAGTGAGGTCATTACATTTTATAGTGAAACCCACAATCTAGGTGCTCTTTACCTTGAGAACCTTTACGAAAAACGGGTGCCTCACTATACATAGTAGAAAGAAAACCCAAAAACTCAAGAACTTTTGGAACCTAGCTCAAAAAGTTGCCAAAATTGTTCCATTGCGATTTCGCAATCTCTGTCCCTCTTTGCTAAGAGAATCCGCATTAGAATTTGTCTGTTGCCAAGTATGTCAGAAATAGGTGCAGGTACTCCTGCATCGATAGGAAAATTTGCTTAAGAATATGCTGAAATCATCTAGGGTAGTTGGAGGCACTAGAGGTCCAAGGGATGTCATTTTAGGGTCACCTGCAATGACCAATCAGTTCCCCCATACGTGGTTGAATATCTTGATGCTCTCAAGGAGAGCCAATGCTTTAGCCATTGTGGAATCTGCATGGCGATGTAGCATGAAAAAAGAGAGGAGGATGTCGTGGTTGTTATCTTTGAAAAGACCATCAAAGCCAGTTGGGCCAGGGTATCCAAGGGACCAATTATTGAAGTTAGAGTTTTATCTATTCCATCTTGGGGTTTTCCATAGGGAGGAGCAGGAGATTTGCTGTGGTCTGACTTCCAAGATGGTGTGTGAATTGTTTAGGATATTAGTGGCGCTGTAGCATTTGAAGACTTTCTAGTTTTTGGTGCAAGATGTCATCATAGCTTTGATGCGGTCTATTATGGAACTGGTCTCCCTACCTTCAAAAATTCTGGCATTTACTTCGGTCCATCGGCCCAAATAGTTGGCGCCACTTAAGCACTCCAAAGAAAGATACCTGCTGCTGGGTAAGGGAGTGAGAAGAAGGCTTGGAATAGTTGCAGTAGTAATTTAGGTAACACCTAAGGCCATTGAAAGGTTTGTAACACTTCTGTCCACAAGGTCCCAGGTGTAGTCACCAGGATCTTTTAAGGAGGGTTGCTTCCGCTCCCGGATCCACAAGGTCCCAGGCATAGGCATAGTTTTGCTTGAATTTGATCAAACCATATCAGGAAGAAGGGACAATTACTCCCTCTCCATTTTCTTAGGGGACATGATCTCTAAGGTGAATTCCAAACCTATTTATGGGAGAGAAGGCGAAAGATGAATAGACAAGGCTGGAGGCACTCAGGTTAGATTTAGATAGTCTCCACACCCCTCTCTAACTTATAATTGTAACTTGTGTACAAATTACACTAACAGGGATGCCTTGTTGGCCCAGAAGCAAGACAGGTTTAAATATATTGTTAGCATTGCCCATGAACAGAGGGAGATAGGAGAAATGGACTGAATGCCAATATCACTTGCGGAAGGCTTAATGATTCAGTGGTGGATACAACATCGTTTAAGAAGGCCAACGGGAACACACTCCACATTAAAAAGTTACTAGCTAGAAAAGTCGCATCCTCATGCAAAAGTTCTCCTTTTCTTTGGATCAGAGCATGTGTAGCCTTTTTGACTTGGTGAGTATCTTAAAAGCATGCATCAACAGCTCTGGCATGTAGGTTGTTCTTCACATTCTCTAGGAGATGAACAAAACCGACACTGCCAAATACTCAAAGATGATCAATTGACAGAGCATGACCCAATCTTTCACCAGGAGAAACTCGTTACCAAGGACAGAAGTAGGAAAGCAATTAATGAGATTCGAAGTCACGAAGAGCATAACACCGCTGAGTCCAAGGAACGTGCATTTTAATCGTTTAAATCTAGTCACCTCCAAGATTTATCTGTGGAAGGACATGTGGTCTGTTGAGGAACACTATTATCTTGGAGATTCTGGAGAGACAGGTGGAAGGACATGTGGTCTGTTGAGGAACACTATTATCTTGGAGATTCTCATACATTTTATTAATAGCATAATCTATCTCATTATCAGATTGAAAAAAACATTATTTTGCATAAACCTGAGTGACTATAATTTTATGTATTGTTTAAAAATCTCAACTACTAAATCTTGAGATTTCATGAGATAAATCCAAGTGAACCAAAAGCAATCATCAATAAATGTAACAAAGAAGCATGAATGAAGAGAGTGACCATTGCTGGTCCCCAGATATTGGAGTTATTAAATAAGAAGGTTTCTTGCATGGATCTTTTATGAAGAAAAGGAAAATGACACAATTTAAAAACATGGCAAACTTCACTATCAACAAAACAGTCAGTATTGCCTTTTATTGTGGGTAATAATAACTTCAAAAACTCTAGCAGGAAGGCGACTAAGTTGAGTACGCCACAATTCCCCATCTCGATTATGTTGAATGCTGGAGCCTGTTCAAATAGTAGAGACCACTGTCTTCAGAGCCTCGCCAGTCATCCTTCCAGTCCTTATGTCTTGAAAAACACATGAGTAGGATGAGAAAGTTACTTTGCAATTCAAATCCTTAGTGACGCTACTGATGGACAGAAAATTTGCAGGAAAAAAGGGAAGAGTCGATGTGGGTTGAACACTACTGGAACCATGAACTGTCGACATCAGTGGAACACCAATCAATTTGGGTAAGTTCAGTTGGCTGAGGTTTATGGTTTAGAGCTGTCAGCATGCCCTCTTGTATCGCCCATGATGAGAGATACGTGTGGAGCGAGATCATGCTAGATATTCAACTTTACACAAATTAGCTGACTGCTCAGATTATAAAGGTGCACACTAGAAGGATGTGTCTTGCTGTTGAGATGGAGGTATTTTGGAAAGCCGCCTCAGCCATAGAAGTCTCAAATAACTCACAGTGGAAAAAATAGAGTACGGGTTGAATCATAGTTACTGAGAGCGGAAGCGGCTCTGGTTCCGGGAGCGGGAGCGTTAGATCGATGGCTGCCCGAAGCCCCGGAGCTCGGGGGGCGAGTTCCAGTGAGGGTAGAAGTTACGGATTGCGATCCCGTTTGAACAGGTAGCGAGATCCCGATATATTGGGATCGAGATCCCTATTTAACGGGAACGCATTCCATGTATTTACGGAACGAGATCCCGTTTGATTAGGGAGCGAGATCCCGTTTGAATAGGGAGCGAGATCTTGATACGTTGGGATTGAGATCCCTATTTGACAGGAACGTGTTACATGTAACATGGGATTGCGTTCCCGTTGACAACAAGAACGAGATCCCATTTAATGTTGAGTCTCGCCCCCCATCTAAACAATACCACGATCCTATTTTGCTAGGATCGAGCTCCATTCATCATAGGATCACGTTCCTCACAATGGTGGTCCGCACCTCCATCACATAACTCCACTTGTATGAAGAACCCAATTCCATTACACATGGATTCATGTACCAACTAAGCACGGCAGCCCGTTCCCATACAAATGCGATATCGATTTGGTTAAATTTAGAAACCATTGTTCTATCTATCAATGGCCCATGCGGCTAGATCCATGCACAACCAATCCTAGATGTCCATGGATTAATTAAATCCCATTAGTCTAGTATGCAATAAAGTCTTCTAATCCTATGAACGATTAATGTTAGTATTGTTCAAATTCGCATCCATGATACAAAAATGAGCTTTACATGTATACATGAAAATATATTGTCTAGGATTTGGGTACCATTTGGATGCAACCTAAGCATATATGGTTACTGTTAGGCTTAAATTCGGGAAATGCATGACCATTATTTTTTGGTAGACATAACTATGTGAAAATTTTACTAAAAATATTAATTTTTATATTTAAATGTTATTTTTATTTAAGAAGTTTCTTTTAGAAAGTTATAAAATGGTAAAATAAATTTAATCAAAATTTCAATAATATCCAAATTTGGGAACTCATTTGAGAATTATATAGTATTTTATAAATCAAAGATATAGGAAAAAGTTTATATAAGGTTGCAACCATAAAATTTAGAACTAAGGATGCGCACCAAAAATCCATTGGAAAAGGTCGTTTGAATGTTGAAAAAGTCTTGAATTGATCATCTCGACATCAAGATGCATGAGTGCATGAAAAAAATAAAAAAAATTAAGTGCTAGAAATTGTGCATCTTGTAACATATTATCTACACTGTCCATTTTAAGAATTTTCATATGTTTATAGATCTACATGATTTTAATCATTTTTGGAGTTTAAAAGTATTTAATTAGATATGAAAATAGATTTTCAGATAATCTTAAGAATTTTTTGCACCAAAATTACATGACATTATAAAATTTGGTGGTGCATTCCGTGAGACAATGCGAGCGAGATCCGTGAAGTAGAGGGAGCGAAATCCGTTGTGTATGGGATCGAGATCCATATGCTTTAGCAGGAGCGAGATCCGTTGTGAATGGGAGCAAGATCCCTGAAGTAGAGGGAGCGAGCTCCATTATGAATAGGATCAAGAATCCTAAAAATTGGAGCGAGATCCCAAAAAGATGAGAACGGGTTCCGAGCGAGATCCTGGTTCTGGAACACCGGAGCGAGATTCTGGAGCGGGCTCCCGGTAACTATGGATTGAATATCTCAAAATCAGGAATATATCTATAAAATATGTTACTGAAGAGCAAGAATTGATCAATTCTCTATCAATTGACTATACTCCAGATTAAGGTGCTCTAGCCTTAGGAAAATTAGATTCACTTGAGATCTGTATATGAGGATTACATGTCGGAACCAAGCAATTTTAGATTCGTGGTGCAGGCATCCATCTACAGAGAATAATAGAACTGACAGATCTGTTATCTGATGGCTGCCACACTTTTAGAGCAAACCTACTAGGCTAGATGAAACTTTTATTTTTTACGGTTTGGCAACGCATGAAATATGCTAAGTTAAAAAATCAGTCTGCCCAATCATTTGCCTCTAAAACCATCATGCAAGCTTCAAACCCAATAAGAAATATTTGACATTCTGTTGAGTACGTATGATGACATCGGCAGTCTGTATGGATGATGTCAGTCTAGTTTATTGTCTGAAAATGGCTCCAGTTTTAGTGAATATTTGTAACCACTTGGGGATCAGTTCCTCTCTAACGAATGTGGTCTTTATGATATCAGCAAACTTCTACCTCTAGTCTTTTACCATAGACAATTGGTAGTGGGATAGCATGTGAATAGACAATTGGTAGTAGGATAGCATGTGACAAGTTTGCGTCTTGGATTATATCATGATTGCCATAAATTTGTGAAAACTGGCTAAAAAACTTGTGACTTTCTGGGGAAGTATTCCTTGCAGGTGTTTATTGAACATTTCTCCGGCCCTTGTTCCTTGTAGCTTCATCATCAAGCTTGGGGCATCTGACTGCATTATTGAGTATTCCATTTAGTACCACATTTGTAGGGAACGGGGTATGAAATAGAGATAATATACTGTTGTATTATGGAAGTAATTCTCATGACCTATCCATGTGGTTTATTGATGCAGCTGTAACATATATAGACTCCAGCGGCATTCAAGCTCTAAGAGATCTGCATCATGAATACAAAACACGTGACATTCAGGTCTGCACATTGCTGTATTGACAATTTAGAGGAAGATGATTAGATTCCTTTGATTAGGGAAAGTTCAGTATAATCGAATGGCCTAGGCCTTAATTTGCCTTAATTTATTGGGATTGTCACCATCCAATGATTTGATGGATGGTGATGTAGGAACCACCAGAATGGGTTGGGACCTGAACGGTGGCATCCTTTCCCTCTCTCAATCATCATCCATCATTTCATTCAAACGTGATAACCCAAGTGGACCATGAATTGTCATAGTCCTTCAGTTATGTCATATATTCCCTTCTTTCTATTGACCAATGGGCTTCTCCTTTTTCTGGTGGTGTGTGCATTGTTGGATGCGTTTTCGGTAACATTTTGTAGATGGCTCTTGCAAACCCAAACCAAGAAGTTCTGCAAAGCCTGGCGAGATCAGGTGTCCTTGAGCTGATTGGAAAGGAATGGTATTTTGTGAGGGTGCATGATGCTGTCCAAGTTTGCCTTCAACATGTTCAAGAACTAAATCAGATGCCTAAGAAGGATGATGCCATGAAACCCGATGAAAAGCTCAGGTTTGCACAGAGGATATGGAAACAAAGAAAAGAAAATTTAAGTGCAGAGAGAGAGCCCCTAATCTCTCATATGCCATGAACATGGCTCCTCTTGCTTACTGGTTGAACCTCCAAGCCATGCAAGCCATGCATTTTAGTTTTGGTGGTTTACTAGCTTGGTGACAATCAGTTGAGCATGTAATTATCCGTGTATCACCTCTGTTGTTATTGTACTTATTTTGCGTGTTTAATGTTTTAGATTTTGCCATTCATTCTGCAAACAAGTCCGTGCGATTATTCATTTTTGGGTGCTGTAATCTGTATGCAATCTCATTCATTTGGCAGATAAGCCTGTTCCATGTGAGTGTATCGACATTTTATTGACAATTATTCCCATATTATGTGCCATTAATGGAGTATCTCTCTCTCTCCACATATGAATGGATCTGGGGTTAGGCTGCCCATCGTTCATTCTAGGCTTGTATAAATGTGATAAATGGTGAGAGCATCGCATGAAAATGAATGTTCTCATGAAAAACATTGCAATAAACAAATTGTCAAAAGGGAATATCGTTTACCCACACAAAAATAAGAATCATCATTATAATACTTATTTGCTATTGTTTTTTCTGAATTTGTCCATCTCACTTAAAGTGCAGAATTTGGATGAACAGTGCAAGCGCATGTTACCAAAATGAGTGTATTGTACCTTAGGCCTTAGGGCTATGGGAAAAAATAGTGCTTAAGGGCCATCATTGTCCACCATGGTGATTGGTGATGTAAATGGTGGAACCAACCAGATAAGAAATGATTCCATGATTGAATCATATTATATATGACCCTAAGGACTGTGGTTGGGCCATCTCATTTTCGTACAGTAACTCATGCAAAATGAACGAGGCATATATTATAGGGTCAGGTTTGCATAAGGTTGTAACCTTAGACAATCAAATTGAAGGATTCCTCCGAATTGTCATAAGAAGTAATTTTGGTGCTAATATTTATTTGGATGGCCCGAGAATCAATTTTCATTCTAATTAAAAAAACATTAACTCGAAAGATGGTTCAAATCAAACAACTATATGAAAGCATAAAAATCTTGAAAATAGATGGTTTAGATAATGTGTTGCAAGATGTACTATTTTTTGTGCTTAAAATCTTTTTCTTTTTTTTTCTATATCTATATATCTCAATGTTGAGATGATCAATTATATGTTTTTCCAACTTCGAAACAACCCTTCTAGACATATTCTTAAGGTGAACCTTAATTTTACATGTAAAGATGTTAACCTTGTCTTTTCTTATATTATATAGTAGGAAGTCTGTTGGTTCTATGCTCCTAAGGAGTATAGAACTCATTTATTCTCTTGAAGTTAATGTGGTCTCGATATCTTATTACACCAAATAATAATTAGTAATCAATTAGAAATTACATAATTGGTAATCAATTAGAAATTACATAAGTGATAATCAATAAGAAATTATACAACACAATCATAATAAAAAATTTCACACAACATAATCCTCATGAGAGATTAGTAAAATCTCCATTGAAATAATATACCTCATTAGTCTCTTTCAATGCCTCAAAATTTTCTACTGGAACTACCGAACCAACCTTCTAGTTACTAATCAAACTTCTTTCCATTTTTTAACTACCATAAAGATTTTGAATTTGGCATCATAAATTTATTGTTTATTTGAAATTATATAGAGAGATATTTGAAAGACTTCTATAAAAAATAAATAAAAATAAGGTTTATCACAATAAAATCATGTTATTCCAATCATATTATTCCAGTGACTTATCATGTTGAAACCAAACTCTAATCATGTTAGAAGACATGTGATTCCATGTAAGTGTTAAAGGCATGTAAAATAAATAGGAAATGCTATCATGATGACTTTAGAATGGCACAAATTATTATTAGAAAATCTTTTTGGAATGGTGATGATGTTATTATTAGAAAATCTTTTTGAAATGGTGTGATGATAACTTTAATTCCGCATTTCAGTAGAATTTTGTGACAAAAAAAAAAAGAAATGATAGCTTATAGGCAAGTGGTGGTAAAACGTTGGTAATGCATTTCCTATATTTCTTCCAGATATAGTCAAACAGTAGCAATGTATTTCCTAGGTTGCATCTAAATACTATCCAAACAGTAACAATTCATTTGCAGGTAATGTATTATACCAGTAATATATTTCACAGACAATATATTTTTAGGTATCCAAAAGACTCTAAGGGATTGTATACTATAAAGTTGATTACTTTTGATACAGGTAGATCACAATCACTTTAACCATTAGATGCAAAATTTGATACTTTAAAGTATGTTAATAGTTGAAGAAGTTTATTTGGGCTTTGTTACTAGTAATGATTCACCCCCACCTGATTTCACATCCAATGGTCAATAATGATTGTGACTTTCTTTTACCAAAAAGAAATAATCTTAATGTATGCATTTCTTTGGACTAGTAACCAATTATGCACAAAAGCACCTTACTAAATATATGTTTATAAATGATAGGGGGCTTCTCTTGCCCTGTGGAATAGGTTAGCTTGATTTGAACACGATATGTGATTATAATCCCTGTATTTAATCTACATATATTAATTCACAGTTAAAGGTTCATTTCAAGCCAACGGTGTTTAAGCCACCCACTAAGAGTAAAGCATCTAATAGGAGATCACCTGACTAAATACACCAAGGGGACCTAGACCCACTAAACTAAGATCTGCTACAAAAATGTAGAACGTCAGATAAGCCCCTAGTCAATCATGAGGGTTGCTCTCACACCAATCTAATGCTAAAGCAAGGGGTGAATCTGGTGCTAGTCAAACATCCATCAATAAGCACCCTGTCTTGCAAGCTTTTTTCCAAACCTTAATGAGTCAGGGTTATAGCATTCAAGATCCAAGCCATAGGCCCATCTGGCCGTATACCGCTTCGTGGGCAATCGAGTGTTCCCTCTTTAATCCTACGAAGATCCGACATCGTTCTCGAGAATGCCACCTCAAAGTTTAAACTCTTTTCAACTGGGATAGCACGCCCTTCTCTCGACTCCATGTTAGAAAGGATCTCGCTTTACGAATGGGTGAAGGAGCATAAGGTTGAAAATCAATTACTATCTGTACCCCCACAATTGAACAATAACGTCGAAGCCGCGCCTAGGGTTGAGATTAATGAACTGAAAAGCCCAACCCATGCTAGCGTCCAAATAAAGATTAATGAACTGAAAGCCCAACCCATGCTACAAAATAGGCCAGTATGGCATTGGGGCATAGGAAGGAACTAACCAACCAGAAAAACCACCGAGTCTAAGCTCACCCAAATGCTTGCGGCTATGGTCCTCGAGACCATACCTTCGATTGCCTTAGCCCTAGGTATGTAATCCAAGATCATGAAGTTCCAGTGACAACCAAAGAGATTAATCCATAGGACAAAAAGTCAACATTGCAAACATGAAATTATACTATTTGTCATAGACCGAAGTTCACTCATTCTCACAGACTCAACCCCTCCACTCCCTCAAGAAACAACGGAGGATCTCCTTGAAATCTTACGATTAACACCCTCATTATACTATTTGTTCATTTCACTGCCCTTTCGAGTTAGATCAATGGAAAACAACTTGAGGACCCAAATCCTCTCATTTTCCTGAAGGTAGACACAAGTCCTCCATCCTCTCAAGAATAAGAAGGAGACCTTCTACAGATCCTATGAGAATTGTCTTCCTTGTGCTTTCTGGATGAATTGCATAAGTGGGATATTGAACCAAAGAAGATGAACCCCAAGAAATCAACAAGGGCAGGGGCATGACTTATCAATAGAGGCACCCCAAAATCAAGACCATCCAGCTAATGGGACACAAGTTCCCACCTCGAAAAATAATAAAATAGGGGTAGTTCGTGAGGTTGAGACCTCATCTGTCAAGACCGAACGCACCATGGGGTGCTCAAATGCCGCTACCCTCACTCTCCTCTTTTAAGGATCTCATCAGGATCCAAGCATCGAGAATGAGCCTATCATGGAATTAACTCCTTAAGAACAACAACTAAAAAACTCAAAAAGACAATAAAAAAGGAGTAGGGTGATCACTTATCTATTTTAAGAGCCAAATAAAACATTCATAACCACCTAAGTTCATATTCTAGGGCTTTAAAGCCCGAATTAACGATGTGATGCACAAATATTCACACAATTTTCTAAAAGTGAATCTTTTCCAAAAGCAAACATGAGCACATTGGGATGGAAGACCATCTCTTGGTCCAATGTCCCTGGAATCATTAGTCAATGCACTATCAGGCACCACGAGGTTGTGAAGCAGCAAATGGCTCAGTGCAAGAATACCTTGTAAAGCATCTAGCACACTTAATCCATTCCAGTGCCCCTACACTAGGGCAATTAATTTAAATCTTGTTAACAACCTTAAGTATCACTCACTTAAAAATATATAAACATTCCGGGTAGATAATAAAAATCTTTTAAAGGGAAAACTTAATGGCTTGTAAGTAACCGAGCAAGAGATTGAAGGACCAGAAAGCCATGAAGGATTTCAAGTCTGAAATTCAATACTTGAGTGGAGCGACTCAAATATGATTCAACAAGAATTTGGCAATCACAATCGAAGAAATTTTCGATACCAACCTAAGGGTAAAAGTGATCTAAGAGTAACCAAGATTTGAATCTTCATATCACTTGGAGAACGTGAAAGATGATTGTAGTCCCAAGGGGATACGAGACCATCCTTGCCTAATCCTATAATGATGTGCCACAACAAGCACCAATGTTCATTTAAGAAAAGAGCAATAAAAAAAAAACAGGGAAAATTTCGTATAGAACCATAATTTCTCATATTATTTCATGGTGAACCCTCCTATTTTTCTTCCAAGCGGCATAAAAAAAACCCTAAAGATTTTACCATACTCCATCATCTCTGATCTCCCTCTTGTATTGACTTTTGATCATAAAAATTAGCTCCAAGAAATCTTTTTATACTATTTCAACCAAAAAATGTTTTTAATGGGTGGAAAGGGAAAAAGAGGGTTAAATTTTTTTTTTGGATGAAATGATATAAAAAGATTTGTTGAGGCTAATTTTTATGGTCAAAAGTCAATAAAAGAGGGAGATAAGAGATGATAGGGTACAGTAAAATCCTCAAGGGGTTTTTTTTTGCCGCTTGAAAGAAAAATAGAAAGAGGGTCTACTATAAAATAATATGAAAAATTAGTGTTCTATACGAAATTTTTTCAAAAAAATTACCCATTAATAAAAGGTATTCCACTGAACAAATGAATGAACCACCTAAATTCCAAGAAGTCAATCTCTGACCATCCAAAAATCCAATCAAAGGAATGGTCACTTAAAAGAAGAAAGAAAAATATTAATTCCAAGTATCGATCACAACCAC